CGCCAGCTCGACTTTCTCTACTCGTCGAGCACCTCCGTCTCGGGCCTCAACACCGACATCGACTACTCGAGCGTGCTGCGCGTGTACAACGAGCAGATCGAAGAGTGGCGCGTGACGTGGCGCTCGCGCGGCTTCTTCCGCGCCGCCGCGGATGCCGACTATGAGGAAGAGGAGGAGGAGCCGCGGCACGCGCCGGCGCCGGGCGCCGAGGCGGACCAGGCGCGGCGCTGGAAGGAGGCCGAGCGCGCGCACCCGGCCGACGACGAGGACCACCAGCGGCGCACGATGCACTTCATCACCAAGCAGGCGCCGCTGCGCTACCACTACGCCGTGCTCATCCTCAACTCCTTTGGCCTGCAGCACGCCGTCGACTATCCGCGCCGCAGCGGCCTCGACAAGGGCTACTACTTTGCGCGCTGCCTGCACGCCGCAAAGGGCATCATCCACGCCGCGGCGACGGGCCTGCGCCCCGTGCTCGCCTACTCGCCGGATCCGCAGTTTGTCATCATTTCGTATGCGTGTGTCTTTCTCCTCAAGGTGGGTGTGTGTGTTGGGACCGGCATTCTTCTAGTGCTGACGACGCCTTGCGCAGCTCACGCGCCCGGCCTTCGCCGCGTACGCCAACGAGGACGAGGTGCTGGCGCTCGTGCAGCAGGGCGCCAGCCTGCTCGAGGAGGTGGCGCTGAACCCCACGCACACGCCCGCGCTGTACGCCTCCTTTCTGCGCGCGCTGCTGCAGACGCGCCAGGAGCTGGCGACGACGCGCAGCACGGCCACGACGCCGGTGCGCTCGCGCGCCAGCTCGGTCGACGAGGGCGCGGCCGCCACGGGAGGCGCTCCGCTGCGCTCCTCGCCCCGCCCGCCGACGGCAGGCAGCGGCGCCGCGCCTGCGTTCAACGTGGCCGGCAGCGCGGCGGGCAGCGCGGCCAGCGGCGGCGGCGGCGGCGGCGGCAACAACGGCTTCACGACGCCCTTTTCCAGCATGTCCGTCGAGCAGCTCTCTGCGCTCGGCGGCCTCGACCCCGCCACGCTCGGCGGCTTCCAGATGACGTCGGCGAGCACGGAGGCGCAGACGATGAACCTCGACGATGCCTTTTGGTCGCAGCTCATGCCGCCGGGCTTCGGCGCCTCGGCGCTCGACGGCTTTGGCATCGACGGCGCCGCCGCGGCGCCTCAGGCGGCACAGCAGCAGCAGCACACCGGCGGCGTCACGGGCTTCACGCCCAGCCAGACGCGCGCCAACTCGCCGAGCTTCCTGCACGGCTTCGGCGCCGGCTTTGAGGCTGGAGCGCAGTGAGCGCCGCAAGCCTG